AACAATGTGACAGACAGCGATGGGCAGTAAGGAAACAGGCATAAAATGGACTCAAACAAAAAGTACTTAGAGGATCTGGACTCCACCGATGATGTGTGTCTGATTTCACACAAACTGGAAGATATGCAAGTGAAAAGAAACAAGTTGGCGATAGAAGAAGCATCCAGAGAAGATAGGACTTCCTTCACGTGAACATAGAGAAAACAGAGGTAGGTGATGAAGATTCGTGGGGCCAAACACCAGCAGCAACAACAACAGACAACAATCAGCCAGCGTAAATGGGAGCAACTTCTTTCACCTACCTATCTACCTTTCAACGTACTTGAGAACCATCGTTTCAACTAGATGCGGACTGAACTGATCAAGACATCAAAGCGATGATCATCGGAAAAGCAAGGCGAGCTCTCATTTCTCTCAAGTCTGTGTGGAGATAGATCAGCAGCAATCAGCATGAAATATAAGATCCGGATTTTCGACTCTAATGTGAAATCAGTCAGTGCTACTGTACGGATTGATCAGAGACTTGGCGTGCCACGAACGACACTTCGAACAGGTGAAACACCTTCACCAACAGATGTCTTCACTCAATTCTATTCAAGGTAAGATGGCCAGCCAGAGAGTATCAGCAATAGGAAGGGATCTCTGGCAATGAGAGGACCAACGAACACCGCAAGAACCAATTGTTCGACAGATCTGCAGGAAGATATAGAGGTGGATTGATTGGTCATACTCTGAGAAAACAAACCATCAGTGAAATAATGGATGAATGACGTCACAAATCACGCCATCACTCGAGTGGAACGCAAATGAATGGGAAGCGGTGAGTTGGTCGTCAGTATGAGGGTGACATATAGGAATGGGAGACTAGACCATGTGGGGAGCTGTGGAGCCAAGTAAACATGTTTGCGGAGAGCCGAACGCAGTGGAGACGTGCAGCTAAAGCCCTATATCCCTCTAGGAGCAATACAGTGGTTTGATGAAAATTCAATGAAATCAGATTAATTCATATTATCCCTCTAAAGGTCTTCTTATCTCATTGGTCAAATTTGTCAATGGAACTAATTGTATGAAATGCTATATAGCTGTGGAAATATCAACAGAAACCGACATTTAGTTTCAAAGACTTAAAGAAACCATATTAGACAGCGTTGTCATTACATATTGTTGCGATGAATCTTTGGAACCGTTGAAATGTTTACTTAAATGTAACAATTTATTTTAAATTAACTGCATTTACACGCGGGAAATTTGAACTTGAAAACAACATTATTAACAGTTATTATTACTACTAGTCTAAGTTAACTGTGATTTTCCCATTGGTTAATTGGACAGAAAAATTCTGCTTTTGTTAACATGTCGGTCATCTTCTACTTAGTATGGATACTTCGAAGATGTCTGAAGACTACCACTAAGTAGCTTGGTGGAAGATCACTAGCAGTAGGGTCAAGGATACACATTTCATTCTATTTGGGATTGATCATCTGGATGTGACAGCACTTAGGCCCATTGAATCTTGAGTCCACTAGCTATCGTTTACAAACTCTCAAGCATTATCCACTAAACTAGATTGGCCAAGAGAATCACCTCATATGCAAACGGCGTCAGTTGTTACTAAAGTCATCTTTTTTTATTACAGCTCGATTCCACCCATATTTTTGGCACAGGTATGGAATTTTCAGCATGTGATACCGGTAGCCCAAATTTTGCAGGTCGATCATAGATATCAGGTGTGCGTCGGCAGTGGATCGAACTCCGAACCATGTGTATGATCGGCGGGAGTTGTAATCACTGCGCCACCGACGCACAATCATTAGTCAAGGTTAAATTATAAGTCTTTGAGAAATTATTCAACAAACTTACGACTGATATATCACGGATCGTCTGATCATAGGATCATATGTAATAGCGCATATTAAATCACCACACATACATACGTAGAGAATAGAAGCCTTCAAAATTTTGTTATTTGGTAAGAAAATAAAAGGCATACTTAGAATAATATTTAATAGTGTAAAATATTCTCGTATCATAAATTAAAGGTTAATCTGAATGAAGAATATTCTTTTCAACACAACCCTCTCTTCAGGTTCTTACAATTATAAAATATAATATAACTGTTATCGTTACGGTAATGATATTTATGCGGCGGGTAAATTTTTTAAAGTAGAATAACAGATTCGTAGTTATAACGTGTCAGAACCAATAGTCGTACTCGTATGACAAACGTCGTGCTAGGCTGAAATCGATTACAAAATATTTCGATGAAATGGGGGACAATGGTGGTGATTAGACATAATAGATTTGTAGAATGTGGGTTAGGAAAACTGACAAGTCAGTTCAAGATTATAAAAGATGTCAGGTGAGTGGCTAGTACAAAGTGGTCTGTCTTAAACAGGAGATAGTAAAACTAACATGAGAGGTTCATAATGAAATAACGAATATGTGAAATGAAACAGGTGGTGACATATATTGAGAAAAGAGCCAATATCATTATTAATAAGTCCGGATAGTATAAATGGTAAATTCGATAGTATTGTGAGAATATTTGTATGAAGGTATAAGTGCGTCGGTGGCACAATGGTTAGGACTCTCGCCGACCATGCACATGGTCCGGGGTTCGAGCCCACGCCGGCGCACACCTGATATCTATGGTCGGCCTACAAAATTTGGGCTACCGATATCCATGCTGAAAATTCCATACTTGTACCAAAAAATACAGTGTGGAATCAAGCTGTAAATCAAAAAAAAAGTATAAAACTTAGGCACTGTGGTAGAGTATAACTCCATTATGGATAAGATTTTATTTTGATAAATCACACAGTGTTGTACAGTTATATTAACTGATGACTTTTCGAGCACATACTATTGCTCATAATCATATCAAGTTCAAAATCAAAATCGAATCTTATCCATAATGGAGTTTGCATGAAGGGTATGAATTATGACGAATAACAATAATAATTGTAATAATAAGCAAAGAAAGAAAAAAACCAAGAGGGTTAAGGGAAAGAAGCACTCTTGGTGAGAAGAAGAATCATCAATCCAAGTTTCGGCACGGTAGGAACAGCGTCTGGATGTGTTCTTTACAGATACAAAGTTCCGATCTAGTCGATTTTATTGCAACATGTTCAGCTATGTGTAGCAGACATAAATGAACTGTATGTGATAACGATCCTGAAAACTGTGTTGATGTCGGTGCTATGCTTAGTATGTACCAAGTGTGAGAGAATCGAGCTTATTGTGCACTTGATTTCACCAATGATGAACCAGGCTGGTAAATGTTCTCAGTATATATCTTCACCTGTATCATTTCACACATTTTATGATGAACTTCTCATTTCAGTCTTACTATCTCCGCCTTTTGAATACATACCACTGTGTACTAACCACTCACCTGATACCCTTTATCACCTTTAACTGACTTGTCGACTTTTTCCTACCCCACATTCTACAAATCTATTATGTCTAATCACCACCATTGTCTCCCATTTCACCGTGATATTTTGTAATCGATTTCAGCCTAGCACGACGTTTGTCAAACAAATACGACTATTTATTTTGACACCCTATGACTAGACTGTCAGTTAACGTTAAAAAGTGTATCCGCCGTATAAATGACTATCATTATTGCGAGAAGTCGTGACCAGTGAGATACATCCAGTCAAGTGTGAGGATGCATATTCCACCAACGACATTGGTTAGAATTGCACTAAATCACGAATTGGTAGAAGTTAGAATTCATGGACTGGCCATTGAGGAGTCGGGTACCAGTGGCTGAATAGTATACCAGCTAATTTGCCTTGTAACTAGAAGGTCATGGGTTAACACCCCGCGTGGTGAATGCTTACTGCCGATGATTCCCAAACTATCGTAACGCAGCTGTTTCGCATTACTCCTAGCTGGTTTTCAAAGGTTCTCTAACTGATATCGATCCGTGATCAACTCATAAAAACAAAACTAATCCTTACGAAACTTACAACTATAGAAAATAAATATTATATTTTATTATTGTAGGAACCTGAAGTGGAGAAATTATTGAAAAGAATATTCGGTCTACGAGCTCGCCTTGTAACCAAAAGGTCCTAGGTTAGAATCCCGGTGGGGGTATACTGATGAGGAGTCACAACTTAGAGCGAAACAGCTGTCCAGTACTCCCTGCAGGTTTTCCAAGGGTTCTCTAACCAATATCCCCTCATGATGAAATCTTGTAACCAAGGCAAAGAATATTCTTCACTTTCCGATTGACTTTTAATACTTAAAATATATTTAATTTTCAACATTATTTACTTCTGAAGGTTAGATAAATTTCATTCCATCAGGTGTATGCGTGAGTGTGTGTGTGTGAATGTGCTAATTAACACTGCTTGAGTGCCGTGTTTCTGCGTGTCTGCATGTGTGTGTGTGTGTGTATGTAGCTCTGCGTATTGGATTGGTGTCAGGTGATCAGAGAGCATACTTTCTGCATTAGAATCAACACCGTCTTAGAGAAAAAAACAAACAGGCAAACTAACTTACTAACAAATCAGCTACCTGGCAGACAGATGCATCCTAAACAAGGTAAAATGAAGTGTGTGCTCTTGAGAAGGAGAGAGCAAGAGAGAGAGAGAGAGGGAGAGTGAGTGAGTGAGAGAGAGAGACCAAACAAACAGCTATGATGTTTGCATACTCAGTAGAACATCTTTAATTAACTAATTTTATTGATTTCTCTTCTGGTTCTTTTACTGTTTATCTATTGGTTCTACTTACTATGGTTGATTAGTAGGCATAGTTGCTAGTGTGAGTATGTGTGTTGGTGTGTGTGTGTGTGTGTAAGTGCGTGCATAGGTAGGAGTGTGTGTGTGCTTGTGTGTACATTTGAGTGAGTCTATACAGAGATGTACTTAACATATATACATAAAATTTCTTAAAAGCACAATTGTAAATTTATTCATCTTAATGTACAGTGGTAGCAGTACAAGTAATAGTAATAATAATATTAATAATAGTAATAACAATAATATTAATAATAATAATAATAACAAATTGTAAGGCGAACAACTTTCAAGATCTCATTATACATTTGGTAAGTTATCCTTGAGTTATATGATACTTTCACTATTGTAGTGATTACTTTTATGCTTCCAAAATTATTACTATTATTAATAGTATTACTGTATGACATAATAAGTTCCCTTCATATATTTCAATTAAAAAAAACACTATATGAGATGATGTAATTTCTGTATGTGTTGTATCTTGCTATTATATAAGGCTTCAGCCACAGGTCCCCATTGCATTGGCTTCTCTGCTAACCTTTTCACCTGGCTTCACATCTGCCCACATGCCTTCATCTCCTCTCCACATCACCTCCTCCTCTATGTCACTCTCACACTAACGATCAACTCGCCACTTCCCATTCAATTGGGTGCCACTCGAGTGATGGCCTGGCGTGTGATATCACTCACTTGATGGTTTGTTTTCTCGGAGTATTGTCAATCCACTTCCATTTCTTCATGCATAATTGTTGCACAACCTGTCACTACCGGGTTGGCTCGTTTACAGAAATCCCTGACTATTACTGATCTTACCTGGCTATCTGATTTTGAGTGGTACTGAGAGAAAACAGTTGTTGATGAAGGCGTGTAATCTGTTCGCCAAGACTCTGATCCGTATAGTAGCACTGACCTTACATTGGAGTTGAAAATCTGGATCTTATCATGGTGAGCGCTGCCAATCTCCACACAGACTTGAGAGTAATGAGAGCTTGACTTGCTTTCTTGATGATCCTCGCTGCTTTGATATCCTCGTTAGTTCCGTCCGCCTGTAGTTGAAACGACTATTCTTCACAGGGTGGGTAGATAGGTCTGTGAAGGAGGTTGCTTCTCTCAGATTTCTCCCATTTTTGCTGGCTAATTGTTGTCTGTTGTTGTTGTTGTTACTGTTGCTGTTTCTGCTGATTTTGGCCAGGAATATTCATCACCTACCTCTGTTTCCTTTTTGTTCACGTGAAGGAAGTCGTATCTTCTCTGGATGCTTCTTCTATGGCCAACTTGTTGCTTTTAACTTGCATACGTTTCAGTTTGTGTGAAATCAGACACATATATCATCGGTGAAGTCTTGATCCTCCAAGTTTTGTGTGGGTCTAATCTATGCCTGTTCCCTTGCTACCTGCCGCTGTCTGTCGCATTATCCAGTCTACGGGAATCAGGAAAATCATCGGAGACATTAAGCAGTCAGCTAGCCAGTTTCTCTTGCTCCCATCTTCAATTTGAAGGATTCGTGAGTTTCCCGTTGTGGATTAATTGACGGTATGCAGCACTGTCATACAACTGTTGGATGAAATGTGTAATTGTTGGCGGCCCCCCTTGGTAGTAGCGAAGAAGTTTCCAAATCCCTCTTCGATCGACACTGTCTACTGACGGCCTTTTCAGAGTCGATGAAGTTGATGTAGAGATAGAGAGTTGACTGCTATTGTATATTGTGTAATGTATATATATATGGAACCTGAGCACTGTGCTGGTAGAGAAAATTTATTTTTCATAAAGTCTCATAGTGTTGTTATACAAGTAATATTATTTACTGATGACAATGTTTTGAGCACAAAGTATTACTGCTCATCACTATCATATCAAGGCACTAATCACACAACTTTCTAATTTCGTTTAGATAATTTTATTATTTATCAACTCACGATTTGATGACTGGTAAGAGTATTTTCTATCTCTGGTATGAAGGATGAGTCACTCTTACTACATGAGTTGGGTATAGATTCGACGCATCAGGATTCAGTAGAATTTTAACCCTCTTCCATCCTATTGTGTGATTGTGTGTTAATGTATGCAGTGCTACCGATGAGTTCCTTACTAAATTACTCGTCTTCGTGGGTGGAGTCAGTCATTCTAAACCTAGCTAAATTCTTATGTTCTGATAATCTGATTATCCTCGATCTAATGGTTTGACCTACTTAATTGACCTCATGGTCATTTCAAGGGTTATTTAACCTAAAGAGCTTGTCTTACCTGAATGAGTGTTTTAGGTTTAAATACCACTTTAATTGCCGCTTTATTAAGATTCCTCCGTAGGAAGGGTCTCAGATGTCCCCTTCCAATATGTAGATGTCATATATTCTTTCTTATTTATGTTGTCATTATTAGTCCCACTATTATTGTCATTTTGCTCTTGATCTTCTTTGATTCTAATGCCTTTATATCTAAATCCAAAACTTAGTAATGCATCATTTTGCAGGGGTTTGATATGATAGGGTCTGACTCTAATGGTCTCAAACTGAATCCTTCGAAATGTTAAACCGTTAATTTTAGCTTAAGATGTAAAAGACAGTTGAAAGAAGTCATCGATTCTCATGACAGTTGTAAGATTGACGACAGTGATATAGGAAAAAAAATCATAAATTAAGTATCTTGGACTTATTCTCTCTTCTGATCTCTCCTGGTCTTTCCATGTCTTAGCAATCTCCAGTAAAATATTCCGCCTGACATTTTACATTAAGAAGTTAAGACAGTCGGGTATAACTCAACCCTTCCTCTTACAGTTCATAAACGCTTGCATCCTACCTATTCTTCTTTATTGCTCACCCTTATTCTTTCCTGGTTTGCTTAAAAAGGACCATGTCACAATTTGTGGAATGTTGAAGACGGTCAGTAGGGTGAGTGGTGTCCAAGTGGACCATACAGTTAACCTCGTTGTCGATGGGCACTTGACTTCGTGCAATAAATTTACTAAAGGGATTTTGTCTGACTCGGAGCATCCACTTTACTCTCAACTTTCACCTTGCATCTCCTCAGGTAGAACAAGAAGTAACGTCAGAAAACTGTATGCTCTCACGTCAAAGTATAGAAATTCTATGATACCATACTTGTCACGTACTTTATGTGATGAAAATAGCATCAGGCAAGAACTAACTAACGTTTTTTCATCTAGTAAATAAACAATTTCCTCCATCCATCCATCCATCCATCCTTATATACCTTGAAGTTTTACTTTTATTATTTCTATTATATTTATGGTCCTGTTACTTCTCTGTTTTACCCTCATAATTGCAAACAACAACTTATCTCCATGACGGCTGTAATCTTTGTTTTTCCCCTCATCATATCATGTAAAGAGAATATTATATTCAATATTTTTAAACATGTTAGGATTTCTATATCACATTGTCAATACTGTATGACACAAGCCAACGGCAATTTTCACTTGTATTCTTATTATTCTTACCCTAGCTGTTATCATTATTATTGCTATTTCCATTTTATATGCTGCATGTTTTTGACACTAACTCTATTGTAAATGTGGAAAGTTTTCTGTGTGATTATTTTTTATTTATAATTTGAGGAAATTAGATGCAATCTTGTGATTAAATGCTGAAAATTCCATTCTGTATCACAAGTACTGTTTTTGGAATAAAGTAAATTATTATTATTATTATAATCAAGAATTTGTCTGTAAGGATTAAATTTGCTTTTACCAGTTTGACCATGGATTCATATCAGTTAGGGAACCATTGAAAACCGGCTAGGAATCATTGTCAGTACGCACCTACCACACAGGGTTTGAACTCACAGCCCTTCGGTTACAAGACAAGCTAGCTTCTAGACTATTCAGCAATTGGGACCCAACTCGATTCAATGGCCACCACACCACGAATTGTAAATTCTCCCAATTTTATATGATAAGAAAAGTGTTAGGCATTAGACTATTAACTTACTGAAAAACACTACATAGACAGTTATTATTATTCATGGCAGCTTTGGTACACTGTTGTCACTTTCTCTATTGGCATTTTTAATTTCACATTTATCTTTTTGTTAGCATTATCATTAATGAAAATGTTCCATTAATTATTTTTCATCTTACCATGTAATTTAAACAGAAAATTAGATGTAATGTATCGTATAAAATGCTGAGAAGTTAACAGTGTATTCAATGTACTTGAAGTCAATTGATGGATGGTGATTACCAGTCAAATCCAGAACAATGTACATTTCGTTCTGTATGGGACTCAGTGATGGTGTTCCCACCGAGGCGCCAAAGCGTTATCCAGTAAACCACTTGGGCCACGAGAGCCACTTGTTGTGTGGGTACTGGGTTCGAGAGTCATTGAGAAAACTATAAGCCCATGGAGAATGTAGCTACATCTAGATGACCAGTCCTAAACAGAACAAAATGCCTATTGTCTTGGATTCCACTCCTAGTCAACACCCATCAATTGACTTCAAGTTACATGACAAGACATCGTTGAATCATCTGCGCAAGGAACTGACATGTCAACTTGAGACCGAGCACTTCAGTTCAATAATTCAACGGGAAAATCTAAGTTGAATTAAATGCATTAGATCTACTGTTTGAAATGAGGCTAATATTATAGATTATTACTATTGTTAAACGCTCAGGCACTCTTAATATGTAAATTTCTAGTAAGGATATTTGAATAGTCTGCATATAGGTAACATGATGTTTTTGGTTTCATATTAGTTTGTTTATTAGATGGATATATCACACAGTCAGTGAAACAGTATTATTATTATTTACTGGATGACGAAGTTTCGAACACATTTCACTCATTGTTCATAATCGTATGGCCAATTATAATCACACGACTTCAAATCTTGAGATTTATAGTTCGCCTTGTCCTCTCCTTTTTGTCGCATGAATAGTAGAATTTCCCAGATGTCCGACTGGACAGGTGTTAAATCATTCCTATTACATGTATTCTCTACCAGTTGATTCGATAAACAAAGCTTCCGTTGTTATCAATCTCTCCCTCCACCCTGCTGTTACATCAGATTGCAAAAAACTTTCATCTTATCCCATCCATCCTATATTGTATGGTTGTGCGTAATTGCGTGTAGTGAGTGGTATGGCTGAACTATTCTCCACATCTCTTATCATCTTATTCGGGTCAACTAATTTAGATTTTGCTGCCGGGTTTTTATACTCGGTTAATCTGACTACCTGATCCTGTTCTACTACTTTGACCTATGTATTTGACCTGACAGTTATTGCAGACAGGGTATTAGATAAACTAAATTGTTTTGTTTTAAAGGCTCCACAGGATCGATCCTTTAA